CTTTAAAGGTGTACTATTAACTATTATCTTTTCCGGTGTAAAGTGTGCCACCTGCTTGTCTCCATGGAGATGTTATTGCTGTGCTGTGTGGAATATCCCACAGTACAACCTGAAACGTATCTATGTATGTCCAAACAGAAAAGAAGGGGTAGCCACCAGGCCAGATCTGTGAAGATGAGCCCACTTACAGTAGAATGCATGTGTCAGTGAGTTTATGTTAGCAATAAAAGACATGTTTAATAAATAGTGCACTTTTAACATAGTGAGCTGCTGCAATAAAGCATTTCTTCCAACTCCATTGTTTGGTATTTTCATAGATTTTTGGTCAGAGCATAAGAGATTTGATTATCTTTTGGGTGTCATAATATGTCCTTGTATCTCTGCCCATGTGAGTCTGATGATTTAGACATCACAGCCTGTATTACCTGCTCTCCTCTCCAGGGCTCCAGTCCATTGACCGGTGCAGTCTTTTAGTGATTCATGATTTAAGTTGGGCCATAATGTCTCAGGAGGAACCCCCACAGCGACAGGCAGAGGGACTGTCCAACAATATGGCAGCTCAGGGAATCAATTATGCTAAGTGTAGCTAATGAATGCACATGTACCGGTGCTACACTCTCCACATATTTCCATTTTTGCATATTGATAGTAGAAATTGCATAGCACTACTAGAGAAAGCAGAGTGGAACTGAGTCAAGCCATTTTCAATGTATTTTTGGAATTAAAAATTAACCCAATGTTTTCCAAAGAACTTTTGAGCGGCCAGTCATTGCAAACTCCACCTACAGCCCATAGTGCAGGCGGACTTCTCTAACTCTTGAAGGTGCAGTATAATTTTTCTAAGGAGGGTTTGTTAGGGAGGTGGTCCAACTTGTATTTATTTATTTACATCATGCTAAGTTACAGGACGAGTATATTGAGAGGCAATATACATCTATATTTGAATAAATGCAATGTAGATGACTTTAAAGTGATACTGCTAAACAAAATAAAAACAAGCAGAAAGTAGCACCACAAAGGTTACATAGTACTTTAACCCCCTACCAACATTAATACAACTGATGACATATGATTTGCTCATCTGCATACTTTGATATAGACAGCAAAGAGCTGACAGATCCAGTGTGTGATTGGAAGCTGTGCAAAGCAGGAAGAACACTATGGTTTGCACAGAATAATGACAAAAACTTTGATTGTTGCCAAGGTTAACATACATTAACAACATCTGTTTGCATAGATGGATGTCTGGCAACAGTCCTCCACAGTCCACTAAAACACATTAAGGTAAATATCGCTCATACCGAGAGGGAAATCAGTGTGTCCGATGTATCTCGGCAGGCCATAAAAGACTATGAATATCAAATCAGCTATGAATAAGTGATATGGGTCTACAATGCAAAGAGGCTCGGGGTGTGAAAGCTTAAGACTCTATTATTATGGTGAAAATGTAAAATATTATTGACAGTGAGCAAAAAACAAAAGGACAAATATTAAGCAGTTTAAAAGATGAATATTATTATAGAGTACTGATTATCTATTGATCATAGTTTTACTGTTTCTCAGTGGTTTTATTATTGCAGAAGGAAATACAAAGTTATCAATACAATCTAGTTTGAAATCTATAATCTTTAGACATATGGCAAAAAATAATATCACAATTTTCTTGGAGCCAGATTATCACAAGGATCACAAGTCATGTACATTTTGGATTTCTCCATTGCCTTCAAGAGGTAGAAAAAGTTTTCAGCTTATTCTGAAATTCATGCTTCACTGTGATTGGTCAGATCCAGCTCACTCAGACGAGGAGAGGGTGGAATAAAATTGTCTGCATTAAAAAGAAATAGTGAATCATGACATGACGAAATGCCTAATCACTGAGATCAAAATTTGATTTTTAGAGCTATAATGCCCAGCTCTGTTCACGTCAACTGATATCGCCACAGACCTAGCATAGCTCCACTAATTTGATGTAGTGGCATTTTCTTGGCTGAATCCTTTGAGTAAAAGAGCAGCAGATCTTGGGAAGTGGGGAGCGGGAGTAAAGGGGGGTGAGGTGTGAGGGAGGGAGCGCTGCTGAAGGAGACACTAATGAACGCAGACAACAAAGGCTCTAACCTGAGCAGTTCCCCGGAGACGCACCAGGCTTTTTCATAGGGTCAATAAAACAACCGGAGCGTGTCTGCATCGGCCTGCCCTTCAGCACCTGCTTAACTGCACCGGGAGGACTGCTGCTCAAGGTTGTTCAAGTTAAAAAAGGGACAAGACTGAATTTCTTATCTGATGTGTATTATTCACAGGTGCAGCTGTCTACTGCACTGGAAACAAGAGCTAACATCTTCTTTTATAATTCTATTCCTTTATCCAGTATTGGAACCAACTCCAAAAGTGGTCTGACTAGGCCCATGTGCCAGAATTATCCCAAAAGATACACTTTAAAGGTGCATCACAATACACAACACTCCACACTTACACAACACATGCATACATAGGAAAGATGGGTGAAGTGTTTTGCTTAAGAACAGTACGACAGTATGCATTATAGAGTCACTGCTGCCATACTAGGCACCTGTTATTCCCAGCAGTCTCCTATCCAAGACAAGTACTAACCCTGTTTAGCTTCTTAGGTAAGACAAGATCAGGTATTCTCATGCACAGTTATGTCTGTTATGTTATGTTATCCTGGCTCCATTAAATAGACAAACAGAAGGCAACATGCAAATGAAAAATACAATATTATACAATGTTTAAAATACTTGTAGTTGACATTTCTTCACTCCTGTCTTATGTTTTTAAAATTGGACAATTTGAACAACATACACAAGATATCTTAGGCTTTATAACACACACACAGACAAAAGCATGCTGGGAGAGCTTCATACTTACCCCACTATGACCGCTGATGCCTGGTGTATGCCTCTTTCTGTTAAGCGAGCCAACCCTCTCTCCAGCAACAGCACCAGCAGCGCAAAGCTCCAGGAAAAGTCAGGAAGACAGGAAAGACGTGAACTGTAGAACAAGTACACAAAGATGAGTACAGAGTAGAACTATGCTATCACCATAATTCTTATTATCAGTATAGAAAATTATTAAGAAGAAAATCACATACACACAGTAGAAATACCACAATGCTGAAGAATGCAAAAGAATTAGGTAGCCAATACTGTACAGAGGATTTGTGTCTAAAGCTGTAGCCTACTTAATAAATATGATGAAGGCTTACTGATGCACATGACCAAATAACCAACTGAAAAACAATGTTTAAAGCTACCTGTAACCTATACTGTCAAATGTGGAGAAATTCTAAGGATGGAAGGTGGGTGAAGAGTGCCATCATGTGGCAGAGTAATGCTATTGAATGTTAGGCCTTTGTGTTTACAGTACATAGTATGGAGACCGTGAACTTGAGCCCCTTTGTTTCCCATTTCCAGAACATATGGCATATTACTGTATTACCCTTCCACTCATAGAGACGAACAAACACACACAACCTTTTCAATGTCAACATGACCATTTGTTGTAGGTTCTTTGATCACTTTTATTTTCATTAGCAAGGAATGCACCGAAGTGCAACATCTTGAAAATGTGAATATGGAAGGCACCTCTATTGCAAAACAAAAGTTTAGAAGTACAGATACGAATTTAAATATTTTTTGCACTTGTCTTTGGATACAAAACTATAGTGCTGTAATTCATTCCCCCTTTTCCCCACAGGTTTAACTGTATTTTATCCTTGATGAGCTTAAAGTAGACGAGGTATACAAGCAACCACACATGGTTGAGATGGGGTACTGAATAACTACCACCAAAACAAGCCATATGCAGAATCACTGTACTAATGTAATAGTGTAGCATCAAACAAACAATGAAAAAACATTAAGCCTATAATAGCAGTGGTTAACAATAGTGCACAAACATAGACACATACAGAGCCCAATGTTGTTGTCATGAATCCTGGTTTAATGAGTTATATAAATTAAATGAGTGAAGTTCGTGTGTAATGATCCATCGCTCACACAGCCACATTATATCAGAAGCATTTAACAGAGAAATGAATCCAGAGGCATCAGCTGTAGCACTCTTGGGACCACAGGCACACACGCTCACTGCAATGACCGTGTTTTACATCGCCAATCTGTTACAGTGGGGTCTCCCCTGCTTCAATCCCATGGATGATTAAGCATGATAATTAAGGTTTTTGGACATTTTCCACAGAGGAGCAGACGAGGCAGCTGGTGACATTCATGCATTCCCAAACACAGAGGAGGGAATTACAATGGAGACTCCATTCATTTCAGTGAGCACAAAATCTGGCTCCTGGCATCAGTTCAAAAACACTCAAGCTGTTGTTGAAAAGGACTATTTGTCCCTCTTTGTTGCAATGTAGCCAATGTACCTTGATCTATTTGGGGAGTAATTTAACCCACAAAAAACAGCCAAATGTTTGGTTTTCATGCTAAATTATTGACTAGGCCCGTAAAAATCCAGTGATGATGCGCGAAAATTCTACATCCCCCCTCACTAATAAAAAGGCTCATATTGTCAAAATATAAATAAATAATATTCTGACTTTTAGAGGGAAAAAAAACATTAAATTCCTAGGCCTTTGACATAAGATTTAGGCCAGGGTGTTTTGTATTTGTTTGTTTGTTTGTTTGTTTGTTTACTTTTGATAAACTATTTCACTTTTTAATAAAAAAAAAAAAAAAAAAGCAAGGAACTTGAATAATGTGAAAAGATTCGCTTACATTGCTAACACTGTGCATCTGTGTCCAGTGCATCATACCCATAGGCAAAAAAGTGAAAAAACTCTAAACTTTGTCTTCTGGAAAAAAGTATAAATTCTAAAGTAATCGGTAAAAATGAGGAATGATAATGAAATGCTAAAGGCATGTGATCCTACCTTTGATTTGATGAGAAAACAGTAGCGACAATCCTGACTCTTCAGCATTGACTCAGCATCCCAGAATGCTTTGCTTAGGCGGAAATTCGAAAAGCTCCATGGAAACGGTAGATTGGCGTCATGCTACATGCTAAACACAACTAGCTTGAGCGTGCAGCGAGTAGCCTGTTCAGTGATTCTGAACACCTGTCCAATGTTATTCTCTTATCATTATGAGCCGAACACCGGACGACAGGGCGCGGTAAGTGTTACACGAAGGAAAAATACGCGTTTTTGTGCTATTATCATGGCGTCTGTGGTTTTCATGTTATAACGTTGATGGTAAATATAAATGGAAGTGGAACTTCATCTTATTTTGTTGATAACCTTATGAGAACCAGAGGCTAACAGCAGACAGATAATATGTGCAAATGGTTAGCTCAGCTGTGTTATGCAAAAAATGAAATGCTCCAACTAACAGTTATGTTACTATGAGCTAAGTAACTTTTGCTTGTAATTATTAGCTAACGTTAATAAAATGTTAAATTGCTTGCACGTTTCTTGGAGGCTCATAGTATGAAATCATCTTTAGTGTTTCCCGTCGATTGTGTTAAGACTGTAGCGGTACAAGTCATTTTTATCATTCAAATAGTGGAGTATAAATGTCACTTACTGCCTATATTTCATTTTAAGCAGACATTTTTGACTTCTTATAAGTAAATGATAATACAGTGAGTAACAAAGTCTAATGTTGTTACGCCAATATGTAGTCCAACGTATTTTAGACAATGGGGATCAATTTAGACCATGGGGGGCACCATAGTCTCCTGAATTAACGGGGAACACTGAACCTTAGTAATATAACCAATATTTACAATAACTTTACATGAGCCATAGGAGTTACCAGGGTTCATGTGGTCAGTGAGAATTCTAAGGTGAACTGCTGTGTATTATTTATATGTAGCGACTGCACTCCATGGTAGACTCGTGTTAAATAATAATGTAATTGCTCCTTACTGTTTATTCCTTACATATTTAAGTAATATTAACTAAACTTGTGATTAATCTTTTCTGCAGAGATGTTGAACTCTTACAATCCAGGAGAGCATCACCAGTGTGGAAAAATACTTTGGAGAAATGTGTCAACTGTTTGCTGGCTATGGACGTAAAGAAGCAAGATTCTGAGATACAGGACATCTTTTTATGAGCTTTATTGGTCAGTACGCAGACACTGAAACGCCAGATCTTAAAGGGGCATCAAGCAGTTTACAGATAACTTGGCTAAGACGTAAGACTATCCCCATGGTGAGGTACATTTCATGCATTCATACGCATCCTTGAAAAATTACAAATACTACATTCTAATAATCTACATTACAGGTGGAAAGTGGTGCATTGCAAAGACAGAGGGTAAGTTTGTCGAACAGATTGTGTTTTGTATGTGTTATATGTTCTTTCATATCTTTATCTGAAATCAATTCAGAATGCCTGAGAGCGAGAGTCCAGGACTTACACATGTAATTATAAGTATCACCACAAGGGGGAGATGTTTACTTCTCTACAAACCCATATTACACTACTGTCTGATCTATGTTACAATGTTGTTACACGGTGTTGTGTTTTGTTTCATTCACACATGTTTAATCCACAAACTTGGCATATTTAGGCTGAAGTCATCACCTTGTGATGTCATGTGATAATACAGGAACTGTGTTTTTAAACTCTACCTGGACTGCACCTTCACTAGAATTATTTGAATAATTTCAGCTTGGAATTGCTCAGATCTACTGAACAAAAGGTAAAGGCATTTTGAGTATTTTGAGCTTTAGAGATGTAGATAGATTAATAATAAAGAGTTAAATGTGTGAATGAAACAAAACAACTCCAGGTATGTTTTTGAGGAGATAACAACATTTTAATGTGGCTAAAAGCTCACAGGAGTCCATTTTGCATAATATAGAACATTTAAATTTCCTTGGACCCTGGAAAATAACATTTTAAAAGTTAAATACTAAAACAAATCTCTAAGTGACAGACACACCTTTAATAAAATATGGATTAAACATGGATGGATTAAACTTTTGTGTATTCATTTATTGAGCTGCAGAGGGTTACAATGGATGTCACCAGGATCACTCGGAGCCTGAAAGAAACCATAGATGACAGTAAAAACAGAAAATCAGAGATATTAAGGTGCACTTCAAAGTCTCCTCATTATGTGGCAGCAGTCTGTGGAGTCCTGTTGAACTACTGTGTCCTGTCTTTTTGCAGAAGATCTTTGGGGAGTTTGTGGTTATCGAGATGCTGTCTCATGCTAAAGCCTTCGAGCTGTACACTTTGGCCTACCAGAGTATTCAGAGCATGGATGAGGAGGCGGACCTGGAGGTAGGTTTGAACTTAGGTTTCTGATTCATAAAGACATTCTACATTCCACTCATTTTTCATACAATTGTTGTTGTTAATTATAGTCTATGTGTTGACTGGGCCAGATGTGTAGATGTGCTGACTGGTCCAGAGAGTGAGTGTCACTTTCAAAATGCAGTATATCCAGCCTCCATGGACGACCTGATAAACACGAATCATTGCTCATACGCACATTGTCCACACCCTCAAACTGATGTGGCAACAACTCACCACAAGTTATGCAGGCTACTTTTTGGTTGTACAAAGAGAGGTTTAAAGGACTGTTTACATTTAAATGAATCAATAACAAACACTGTTGTGCTCTTTTTAAATGTATCACTCATCACCGTCTCATCTGTATTTTTACTTTGAATGACGCATGCTTCATTCATGCTTTAGTGAAACTCCTCTCCCACATAAGGCAGGTTTCAGTGACTCATGGTTCAAAGCAGATTCATCAGAAAACTAAACAATAAAAGGCATGAGGATCATCCTGACAAAGGGTTAAGGTGGGCTCATTGGTTGCCATGGCAAAAAACTGTTGTGGTTTAGAGTGTTTTAAATGAGTTTCACACCGTGAACTCACTGTACCTTTGCATTTATTTGAGTAATAATGAAAAGATGCATACTACCAGTATTACATATCAAGTTTTTTTATTCATTGAGTAGAAGTACAGTGCTCGCTACTGTCTTGGCAGGTGTTCAGGTCCACCCTGCTCCCAGAAGAATAGCAGTCCCACTTAGACATAGTGCAACTCATTCCCAAACATTCCTCAATCACACTGAGTCCTTCATGGAAAGCTCAGGGTCCACACAGGTAAGACAGAGATGCCACAGCCTCTTCACATAGACATTTAAAACTCTCTAAATGTTATTTAAACAAATGTATATGTTCTTAGAAAGTTATTTGCATTATTAACACTTATTAGTATCACTTGTATTGTTTTTATAATATGTCTGCTTTTCATTACATTGCTGTGTCAACATTACATACATTCATTCAAATTATCCATATTGCTGCAAGTCTTTCTTGTTGGTCTTGTTTGGTCTTGTGTGATGTTTGTGCCACTGTACTTTTCAGAGCCTGTTTTTACACAAATCAGTTGGTTCCTTTAGTGTTTTGGGGATGACAGATTGTGTTGCAGATGCAGATTGCTGTTGACACGTGTCGTCTGAATGAGCATCAACATGAACACGAGGAACACACTGACGGACTTCTGACTTTCTGAGTCTTATCCCTGATAATCAGCTGCTTCTAAACAATAATATTAACACTGTTGTTTGTTTGGTGCAGAGCTATAGGCCTCACTTACAAAATGTGTGTATTTTACCTGAATTTTCAAATTATTTAACATTTAATCAAATATTGTGTGCAAGACATAATGTTATATTCTATTGGATTATTTTACAGCTTTTTCCTGATTACCTTACATGCAAACAACAACAAACTTTTTGTGACAAAAGCATTTCACAAATGGATTTGATATTACCACATAAAAAAATCTAATCAGCCAAATATTTTCAAAAATACATTTTCCCATTTATATTGCAGCAACACTGAGCGAGTCTTTGACAGATGAAGAGAGAGGAAAAGGGTGATGAAGAGGATTATGAGGAGGAGTCAGAGGACAGTTAATATGCTTACGTTGTGCATTTGAATCAACTTTGGCTATGAGTATTGAATTATATGAAGTTATCAGTATTTTCGTAATTTACTACTTTATATTGTTATCTTTTACACAATTTATGCCACTTTGTTTTTTTCATAACACTGTGACCCCATCTTAATATATGTAAAATATTGTTTCTACTATTGTTGTTGTTGTTTTGTTTGTTTTTTTGGACTCAATGCAAACTGGCCTTCTTTACTATTAAATTAATTTATAAATAAAAAAACACCCCATTTACATTTTGAATTTCAAATAATTGCTGCCAATTGCCACTGGGGAACAAAGGGCTTTCAGCACAATAGAAAAGCAGTGAATACATTATGTGTTCATGTAAATGCTGCTCGTGTTTATTTGCATATATCACTTGAGCCTGATGGTGTCTGTGTGGTCTGTCTCTGTCTGGCCCACATGAGTCACTGTGCATTTATCAGTAAGCGCCTTGTGTCACTGTACATCTCACACAGGACACATCCCTGTTGAAGGAACATTCAGACAGCAATTTGTGAAGACGTATATTTAAATTACAGGATTAAGGTACACTATTCTAAAAGCCTCAGTTTCACATATTCATCATGGACACCTGTACAGTGGTTTGCACAGGAGCAATAGGTAAAATGTATATGTTCATAATATGTTCTATGATTAGAAGCATGATAAGGTCCATGAGATCAACAAGACAAAATTTTGATAGATTTTTTATTATAATAAATTGTGTCATTCAGTTCATAGTTTTGGCCTTTACTCACCAGTGTATAACCCTTTTCTGTCCAATCATACAAACATATGAAGGAAAAAATCTCACAAGATAATTTTTCTCGTGTGGCAATTTGATCTCGTGACTCTTGTGGCATGAGATCCTATCCCATCCTTAACAAAATCATGTGAAATTTTGCACAAAACATTTTATATCCAGATACTAACCTTTCCATCCTGTGTTTACGTGTGAAATCTTTAACCTTCCCCATGGTGGTTATTACAATATCACAGATAAAAATATGGGATACTGCTAAATCCGTCTGCTCCTTATGAGTTTCATTTTGAACGGATTATTTCTATATTGCCCTACTCAGGTTGTTGGGTCAGATAATGATTATGCTCATAGAGCCCACTCATTTGCATACTAATTTGGCAAAGGATCTAATTCAACTCTTAATATATCTGGACCTGCAACTGGTAGAAACTTGTGACTTGTGGCTCCTGTTTGGAAAAAAGAAGCTATGTGTACAATCAGTCCTAGTATCCTGCCCTCCTAAGCTTGACTTTGTGAATTTCAATGGCAACACCGAGGTGAGTCATCCCTGTAAAGTGTGTTTGTGTGTTTGAATGACTCAGAGCAAGCTTTTCAATTGTATGTTAACCTGAAAGCTCCACTCCTCATTCCCAGAGTGGACAATGGCCACTGACCTGTCACGAAGGAGGTAATAAATAGAATAAATAGAATAAATAGAGAGTGGTGGCAGAAAGACTAATCCAGAGCCAAAGCAACAAAGGCAAAAACAGCAAAGGAGCTCCGGTGAGTCACTGAGTGTAAAAAACAAACAGGGAGATCCTTGTTGCCAAGAACCAGATGTGAAGAGAGGGAGAGAGAAAGAGAGAGAGAGGGAGGGGGCAATGAAAGAGGTCAGTCATATCCTCCTGCCTTTATCATTGACTATGACTCACAGGTCCTTAGTGCATACCAGAATTATAAAACCCTGTAGCAAGTCAGCTGTACATGATTTCAAATAACAATATAAAACCAATGTGCTTTAACATTACATTTTATTACATGAGGCAACTTTATATTACTCATTAAGGTTGCAAGGGTTTTTGTTTAGTTTTTTTACATTAAATCTGAGGATACACATGTACCACACCAAGATACAATTCACTGTATCCATGAGTTTCAGAGAGATGAAAGATAGGACTGCTGTCATTGTCATTATCATTTTAAAACAATATTATATAGTTATGATATTATATATTATAATAGTCCTCAAATGTTGCATCTAACAGGAAGAGGAAACCCATGAATAACAATGAATAATACGTTACACACGTGTTATTATGTATTATATAATAGTATAATATAACATATGCGCCCTATTCACACTTAAAACTGGATTTCTCATTTGGTTCACCCTTAGCCTATTGTTCTGTCTCATCTGCTATTGTCCTTTTCACCACTAGAGGGAGGTATTTTAAAGTGCTTCAACTAGACCTGTGCAATTGAAGAGACACTGATATGGAGACACCGTGTTCTTTCCACACTTTGAACGATTCATTAAGTGTAAACAAATATAATAGATATTCTTAATATTCTTCACTGCGTAGCCTTTCCACAGATGATTGGTGTGCATTTTAGACAGTGACAGAGACTACACCACAATGCACAATAGCACATAACATTGTATCATTTAAAGCTTCATTAACGCAAACCTAAGTAATTTACATTGTAGATGCAATGCAATGCAATGTCACACAGAGCCTCTTATATGTTTGGCACACAAAGAAGTGATGTTTTCCTGGACTGACTCATCTATAGCCATCTCAGGCAATGCTGGTGCAACAATCAAAATGCTTATGTTTCTCTATGAGGCAAGCCAATATACATTATCATAACCACTTTACATTTATGTGTTACTCTGTCTATTCCTAATCTGTCTGTACATGTGGAGTTCACTTGGTTTGTTTGTAATGTGAGCTTTACTTTTAGTGAATGTGGTGCTGCAGCTGTAAAAGTGAGTCCGCATAGCCCGGGTCTGAGTCACTGCCTGAGTCATTGACAGCACTGCCTTGGCGTGTGTATGTTGTTTGCATGTGTGTGAGAGCCGGACCACTACCTGCTGTGTGTGCGATGTGTGCTGCAAGGGCTTCTGGGAACTCTGGACTGTCCCCCCCCTGTGTCACAGGAACATGCTCAGTAAGGTAGTGTAATGGTTCGTGGAGGGGACGGTTTATCAATTAGTAACTTTTCAGGATTTGCAGAGAGAATAAAAAGAGAGAAAAAAGACATTGCACACTCATATGAGCGTAATGGTTCAACGTGGGTCTAGTATGAGTGAGGAAAATAGTGTGGGCCTGATAATGTGTAGGTTTTCATAACATTGTGTTGTGAACATCGAAAACAGAAATGCCCTGGCAGTCTAAATAGCACTGGAAATATATAGGCCTAGATTTCTTTGACCAAAATGAAGTGAAACTGATGCAGCTTGGGGAAATCTTGATGGAGTATTTATATAGATCTTTTTCATCACTACACTAAATGTAGATTATTATTATTTATTTATTTATTTATTTGAATGTAATTGTTGACTACAGTTATAAGTTAACCATAAATGTTTCACTTGCCTTTTGAGGTCAAACAAAGTGATACTGACTGATTCTCTAACACATGTTTTGGAGTTTGTGTATAGTCCTAATAATAGTTATTCTATTAATACATTATTTGAGTATTGTCTCAGTAACTGTTTTAATTCAGTTATCTTATTTCAGACCTGAATCCATTTTAAGTGTCCTGTTATCCATCCCAAAATACACCAAATACACAGAGTACTTTTGCTCCCTTGTTTTATGGTGACACTTAGTTTAATGTTCTTTTCTCTAACATACTTAAGTCAAAAGCCTTCATCATGCAGTCCCCATTTCAGTGATTGAAAGGCAGTGTAGAGCCTGTCAGTGTACATAAGTAACCCCAGCCAGTCTGCACCATCTACTGTAACTACACATTCTTACTTCAGAGAAAAGGCGTAAATCAGCCACAGCCATAAGGCCTTCTCATGGGTACTTTTCAGGTGTCAGCTCAAATTCTTTGTCATGTGATGTGATAAAGTAAAAAGGAACTTGTTATTTATTGACTGTGTTTGGAGTCTGGGAGTGGCACCATTGGATATCTCCGCTCAGCACAATTCATGAAGAAGGGGGAAGTGAGTGTGTGGGAATGGCATTATAAAACATAAAACAGTTGTTATATCAGCTGATGGTAGTGTTATTTGTAATTTATATGGTTTTATGCATTGCTGCTTATCATGAAGGCTTACAGCAGATGGATCAGTGTGCTAAATTCACTTGTTTTTAGTTAAACGTGCACAATGTCACTTTTCTGTTGAGTGTCGTCTACCAGTCACTTTGGAGCTGCAATTGTTTTTCCTGTAATGTTCCAGCATTAAATTAATTTATCTTGCAATTACAGGGGTTTTATTGCTTATCAAAATACAAAGGCAGGTGAAGGACAGACACCCTACTGGTTACATGCTGCATCTTTAATTATGGGTTCATTAAAGGTCCTACATTACGCAAAATTGACTCTTGACTCTCTTGAGATTTTAGCCACATTAGAATTTTGTTATCTCCTCAAAAAGATACCCAGAGTTGTGTTTATGTTTCATTTACTCTTGTTTGAGTAATCCTGCATTATTAGTCTGTCTACATGTCCACATCAAGATGAAAATGCTGTGTTCCCCCTTGTGATGTCATGAAGGGGTAGTTTTCCGGTTAACAGCTACATTTTACTTTAGGTCAGTAGAGACTGGTAATTCCAGATCTGAAAGCATTCAAATGATTTTTGGGAAGGGATATGGCATATTAAAACACAGTGGAGCACTTCCTGTATTAGCACATGACATCACAAGGTGTAACAGAGTGTTTTTAGTTTGAGAGAAGAAATTAAATGTGCATAGTTTGTGTGTTAAACATGTGTGACTGAAACAAAACACAACTCCAGGTATGTTTTTGATGAGGAAACAACATTTTAACAGATCATGAAATAGTGTAATATGGGCACTTGCAGATGCAGATAAATATGATTTTGATTTGGGTTCAGCTTCTGTCTCCCGCTGCTTGTTTTGTTGAGTGGCTTCGTCTATTCCTCCCTATGGCAGCTGTTAATGATTTCAAATGTAAGAGCCAGATTGTATGCATATGTGCATCTGAATTGTGCAACCGTCTTACTGCTCTGAGCTGCTCTGGGCCTATAGGCTTGAGTGGGTCTTCATGTGGTCTGGCTCTGGTGCTTCTATCCCCTGACCTCTGTAAAACGGGTCATTACTCTCAAAATCATCCAGGTGACTGCACTTCCTGGTATAGCTCAGTCCATCATGGTAACACATTAGCTTATCTGCTATTAACATATCACTGCTTTTATAAACTCTAGTGACCTAAACAGAGAATGGACCTTGCCCACTGGTTATTTTTATACAGTATCAAATGAGTTGTTTTATGGCTGCGAATCTTAAATGAAATA